AGAGAGAGAGAGAGAGAGAGAGAGAGAGAGAGAGAGAGAGAGAGAGAGAGAAGAGATTTGTTCTATGTCTTTAGCTACTTGAGTTATCTTGACCAAGGAATAGATCTCATGTTAAGACTGGTGTACAAGCCGGGTGGTGGTGGCTCACGCCTTTAATCTCAGCACTTGGGAGGCAGAGGCAGGCAGATTTCTGAGTTCGAGGCTAGCCTTGTCTACAGAGTGAGTTCCAGGACAGCCAGGGCTACACAGAGAAACCCTGTCTCAAAACAAAACAAAACAAAAAAAGACTGGTGTACAAAATGATGGTGGTGATAGCGATGAAGAAGATGATGGTGGTGGTGATGTCAGGCATCGTGTAAATGCCTTTAATTCTAGCTCAAGAGGTAGAGGTGGGCAGACTTCTGTAATTTGAGGCCAAGTTGGTCTACATATAGAGACCCTGTCTCAAAATAAACAAACAGAAACAAAAGCAAAAAAAAAAAAGTCTGTTATGAGCTAGGAGGGCATTTCTCTGGGCTGATGGGAGTCCCCTGCCAGCAGGATATGGAAAGCAGGTGGTCTTTCCTCACCAGACAGTTCCTAAACAATCCATTTTCATGTCAGGCCATGTTCTCTTGCAGTTTGAGAAGCTGGGGTACAGTCAGCCCTGGATCCAGGTACCGACCTCCTGTGTTTATCTGACAGGTAAGGAACAGCATGAGTATGAAATCCTGTGTGCCAGGTATGCACACAACATGTGTGTTTTACATTATTGGAAACCCAGGGCCTGGAGTAGGATGAGGCCAGCGAGGCCCCCATGGATGAGGTGATGGACTTTAAGTAGGTTGTGCCAGACACCCAGCCAGAGCCAGCACTCAGAGGGCAAGTGTCTCAATATCATTACAACTGCGTTGATCATAGGCTCACTCCGCTTAAACCTGAGCCTCTCACAAAGCGAGAGTGACTATAACTCTTGTAAAAGAAGAGACTGGGGCTCTGAGGGCTGCCTGAAGAGGTGCAGTGACAGGAGAGAGGCAGCTTTGACTAGATTTAGCTGGAAGGCATGAGGCAGGAGCTGAAAGGCAGAGGAGGCCTGAGGCTTCCCTCTTCCAAATTCACCTGATGCTAGGGCTTCTTTAGGGTGTGTGGAGACTTTGACCTTGGATTCTCCCCTTCCCCATGCAGATCAGAATCCGCTCCCACTCCCTGGTCCCACCCCACCAAGACAGTGTGTTCTGCTGCCGCCCTCTGCTGGCCTCCTAGTAAAAATGCAAGCAGGCATTAGGCTTGGGGTGAGCAGCCCAACGGAACAAGTAGCCCTCAAGTCACAAAGGGCTGTGTCCCTGGTGCATCAAAGACTGGACCTACTCTTTTTAAATGTGTTGGGGATGTTATTGAAATCAAAGACTTGTAAACTTGTTACCCAGGTGGGTGACTTCTGTATACCACTGCCACAATGATTGACATGCATTATCTGTAGCCCAGGCGATGACAGCTTGGGAGAATTGTATATAAATACACAGTTCTCTGTAAACTAGCTGCATCTTGGTGCATCTTCACATTGGTTGAGGCAATGGTGTCAGGACAGAAGGAGTGGCAGGGAAGCATTTCCAACTCCTCCCTCTCCTACCCAAGTCAACATATCAAAACAGGAGAGCCAGGTATGGTGGCACACACGTGACTCCAACACTTGGGAGGCTGAGACAGGAGGATCATGAGCTCAAAACCAGCTTGAACTATCTAGAGAGTTTGAAGCCAGTCTGGTCTTACATCGTAAGATCCTGCCTGCCTCAAAAGAGAGAACTTGAAGACGCGCAAGATAGTTCAATGGGTAAAGGTGCTACCACCAAGCCTGACCCCCTGAGTTCAATCTCTGAGACCCACATGGTAAAAGAGAAAAATTGACTCTCCAAGGTTGTCTTGCATGGTTCACACATGCGCCATGGTGTATATGTATCCACACACATAAACACATACATGAAACACATGAATGAAATGTCATTTAAGAGAGGCTGAGAGAGCAGAAACATCTTGACTCTTCTCAGAGTCACTTGCACTCTTCAGACTGTCATTATTACTTGGTGCCATCTTACCGTGACCTATCTCCTAGCTAACAGGTCCCCAGAAAATGCTGCCGACTTAAGGGAATCCAGTGACCTCTGTAAAGGGACCCCCTAGCAAAGCAAGCAATGCCCCCAGTGGATTTCTCCTGAGCCCCTCTCACCTGCCCTCTCTCACAGCTGCAGTGATGGAGTACCTGCACCTGGCACTGAGGCCCGTCTGCATCCTCCCCCCACTACTCACCCGCAGTGAGGTAAGTGGGGTGCTGAGGGGTGGGGGATCCCAGCCCTGTACTATCCTCTTCCCCTCCACCGTTGCTGAACACCTCTGTCACAAGGTTCTTCTCTGTGGTCTCAGAAACTTCCATGTTGACCCAAAACTACAGCCCGTTCCTTTCTAGTGCTCCCTGCTAACTTTTTGCGCAAACTGTGTTACATACTGAAAATTGGACCACTCCAAACTCCTATTCACAGCTGTCATTCCAGCCATAGGTGGCTTATCTTCTAGCCAGACCTGAGCTCCCAAAGGCAGGTCCTATAGCAGGCACTCTTTTGAACCTGAATACATATACATGCACACATTCACACAAATCCCCAGTGGCCCTAGGCTCATCATGTTTATTTACATGCTTAGTACATGCTTACTTAACAATAAGTATGTACTAAATGCCTTCTGTGTATAGAATATCAATACCATTCTCATAGTTATGGTGTGTAATTTGTGGGGAAGAATTGTCTTGTTTATTGAGACAAGTCTTACACTATATAGCTCTGGATATCCTGGAACTCACTGTGTAGAGCAAGCTGGCCTCAGACTCACAGGGATCCCCCTGCCTCTTCCTCCTGAGCACTGGGATGAAATGTGTGCACCATCACACCTGATGTGTATGTAATTTTATATTTGCTTAGCATGTACCATCCAAAAAGAGGGCATCTTGGCGCTGGAGAGAGAACTCATCAGTTTAGAGCTCTTACTGCTCTTCACACGACCCAAGTTTGAATCCCAGCACCCACATGGTGGCTCACAACCATCCATAGCTCCAGTCCCAAGGGATCTGACACCCTCTTCTGGCATGCACACAATGCACATACATGCACTCAGGCAGGGCATATAAAATAAGTAAATCTAAGAACTTTTTTTTTTTCTTACAAAAAAAGGTATCTTAAGTAGACTGTAAGCAGTAAGGCAGCAGGTGGTATTTAGGGTCTCTCTCATTTGATTCCTCTTAGTGCTAAATTAGGAAGGGCAAAAACATTATGCTCTTCATTTTATGATGAGAAACCGGGCACTAGAGGAACCAGTGGCTTATCCAAGATCACAGCACACTGGGATTGGCTTCAGGATGCCAAGTTCAGTGCTCCTTAAGCTGAAAGGAAGTGGGGAAATGGAGAATGTTTCAGAGAAGCTATGGCCTACACCTTTTCCAGATTGATGGGGGATAATGACAGTCCTTTAATGTCACTTGATATTCACCCCTGCTGGAAGCTATTACCCTGCCCATGTTCAGAGGAGGAAATTAGGGACAGTGAAGCTGCCTACACATGATCAGTCACTTACAGGGTACTGGTGGGATTTGAACTCAGACCTAAAGCTCCACCACTGTCTTGTAAAACACCAGGAACCAACAAGGCAAAACAGCTGTCAGAAGTGCTGAGGAACTGTAGTCAGGCATTGGTTTGGCTACCCTTCCCCTTGTCTAAAGTCTGGGTCTGCAGGTTAACTTGTTGGCTCCAGGGCAAAGGGTCTGGGGCAATTTGGGGCTACAGGTCAGTTGTCAGCTGGCCAGTCTGTGAGTCAGCAATCAGCTCTTTAGCATTTAAAACCTTTCATTCCTTAAGCACCTACTGTGTGTCAGGGATTGCACTGAGCACTGGAGGTAAGACTTGGTCCTTATACCAGGAAGTTCACAGTACAAAGAGGAAAATATTCTAGAAACCAAGCAACTCAACACGGTGATAAGAGCTACCCTGAGATGTGAGGAGGAATTTTCCAGCATGCAGGAGTGGCACCTACATCCTGAGATCACAGTTAAACCTGACCTCTGAGAACACTGTGTTAGGACCTGCATGGCTAACTCACAGCTATGTCTCTCTGCTTGGATGGCTTTAGGATATTTACTAACCTGCATTCCTGCAAGCCCTGAACTATCTGGGGCAAAACGGACAAGAATTGGTCTATTTCCCTCATTGAGGTCCCCAGACCAGGGCTTGGCCCCAAGGGCCTGCCTATGCCATGTGAGAACCACGTAGCCAATGTCCAGCTAGAGAGTAACAAGCCAGGTGGGAGAGCACCTCCAGACCCCAATATGACGAGAATACGGCCACACTTTCTAAAGTGGATCTCCTATGTGGACCCTAGGCAAGTCACTTAACCTTTGTTTTTCAATTTCCAATTATGCAAAGAGGAAATCGTGCCATCACAGAGGACAAAAGTGTATAAAGGGACCCCACCAAGTGCAGTGGGAGTTCTATCATCCATAGTTGTCGTTTATTATCCTAGAAGCCGACGGGCCTCAGGCCAACTGGCAGCAGGGGAAGTGCTGCTCAGCCTTAAAGAGGAATCACTTGTTCGTAATTGAATCCCTCTCTTAGGGTCACTTAGTTAACCAGCAGAAAGGACAGGAAGGCTGTTAGGAAGGCCCCGCCCACTACAATTGGTCATGAGCTGGCGGCAGGAAGCCAACATCCTCCTTTGGAGATGTTTTTCTGGAACCGGCACCCCACTACAGGCAGGAGGCCTTCAGCCTGTCCTGGTATTCAAGAATGCATCTAAGGGTCTCCAGGGGTCCAGAACTAGGCTGGCTGGGAAGAGAAGTAGAGAAGAGGAATGAAACAGGATGAAAATTTAGCAGAGCCTGAGGGTGAGATACAGAAAGGGCATGGAGGAGGCGGTACCCTCCAAGAAAAAGATCTCAGAAAGGAAGCCTCCCCTCCTCCCTCAGGAAGGCATCGCAGGAACCAGACGCAGAGGCCAGACTTTAAACCCCAGTGTGACAGAAAGGTAGTCTGCCCCTCCCTTATCCTTTCGGTCAAGAAGACACAGGATGCTCTCCCACTAGCCCAGCCCTCTGCTGCTCCGCTTCTCCCATAGGTGCTCAGCGTGGCCGTGACGCACACCTTCCAGATTGCCAAGGCGCGCGCTCAGCTTGGCTACGTGCCGGACAAGTTCAGCTTCGCCGACGCAGTGGAGCGATACGTGCAGGCCACGACCCCGCAGCCCCGCTGTTGCACCGTGCTGACGCTCCTGCGGCTGCTGCTCGCGCTCCTGCTACTGCTCGGCCTGCTGGGCCTGGCCCTGTACTTCCTAGGGCTGCAGCCTTTGCAGGCGGTGGTAGAGCGGCTCTGAACCGGACCCCAGCCCCCAACCACCACCACGCCCACGTATGGCTCCTCCCCCCCCAGCTTCTACCAGGGTTTGACCTCCTGGTTTAGGCCCGCCCCTGTTTTTTGACCCCGCCCCGATTGCTGGCCACGCCTCTACTCCGCTCTCTTGGCTTCTATTCGTCCGGGTGTTTGGGCTCACTTCCACGTTTCCCCCGCTCTCCCCTCCCTGATCCAGTGTGGTACTCTTCTCCTAAGCTAGGCGAGGCGGTTGTTGAGGTCCCGGCCTCTTAGCCCGCTTCTCCTTCCCAGCCATTTCCAGTCCTACCCAGGCTAGCCCCTTCCTTCCTATTCTTCCCGATCCTTCGAGTTCTGGCTTCGCCCCTTTCTGCCTCCATCTGTACGCTGAAACCCCAGTGAGGTCGCTTCTGTAGGGATAAGCCTTAGCCCTAAATGTGTGAGTTCTGGTTGGTGGAGTCTGTGGAATTGGACCTGTCTTCTGTCTCCTTCTGGGGTCTCCTCCCTACCACAGCTTCTTTGAGTTTATCCTGATCCCGACACCGATCTATATGTGTTGATTAGCTGGGGACGGATACCCAAGCTCAAACTTGATAGCTTTTGGTTCTCAGTTAATGAATGGAAACGACTGGCATAATAAAAGGTTTCAGGTCCAGAGGAGGCAATGGAGAAAAAAAGTTTGTAAAAGAAATCTGAATGTCGCCGGGCGGTGATGGCGCACGCCTTTAATCCCAGCACTTGGGAGGCAGAGACAGGCGGATTTCTGAGTTCGAGGCCAGCCTGGTCTACAGAATGAATTCCAGGACAGCCCGGGCTAAACAGAGAAACCCTGTCTCGAAAAACAAAAACAAAAAAAAAATCTGAATGTCTCATAAAAAGTACCAATATAACAGACAAGAGTTTCGCTGATCATATCTTATGACGTAGTTTGTGTGTACTTGTATGTGGTATCAGAGGATATCATTCCTGAAGCTGTCTTAGCTTATTTTTTCAGACTAGTTGGAGTTTGGAATTTGGAATGGGTAGGCTAGACAAGAAGCCTTGGGGAGCCACCTGTCTCTGGTGTCCCAGTTCTGGGGTTGCAAGCTTATGCCACCACACCCAGCATTTTATGTGGGTGCTAGAAATGGAATTCAGGTCTGCATCTGTGTGTGGCAAGTACTTTACCTACTGAGCCATTTCCCCAACCTCCGTATTGTAGTATCATCTGTATCTCTTGATGAGTAGTGGTCCTCACCATCATCTTTAAGAGTTTAAGCCCACAGAAACTGTACCTCTCTGCCATCGTGATGTGGACTGAGGGTCCCAAAACAACCGTGTGTAAGCAGAACCACAGACATCCATCATCTGGTGCACACGTGGCATTAACTGAATAAACACCACGGACCCTAGCAGCAAGCAAAGTAACCTGGCTGCAGTGGAGGAAAGAGAAGGTGCTAGTCAACCTTCACAGGTGGTGTTCCTCGTAGCACGTGTCCCTGTCTGGCGAATAAGGAAAACTGTGTAGTTTTAAAATACAGTAGGCAGAATTTTATGTGTGTGTGTCTACTTTTTTTTTCTTTTTTCTTTTTCTTTTTTCTTCTTCTTTTTTTCATTTTTTTTCTTCTTTTTTTTGTGTGTGTCTACTTTAAAAAAAAAGATTTACTTATTTTATGTATATCCATACATTATAGCTGTTTTCAGACACACCAAAGGAGGGCATTGCATTTTACTACTAATGGTTGTGAGCCACTATGTGGTTGCTGGGAATTGAACTCAAGACCTCTGGGATAGCAGTCAGTGCTCTTAACCACTGAGCTCCAGTGTTTACTTGGTTTTTTGTTTGTTTGTTTTTTATTTTTTTTAAAGATCAGTAGTAATCATTTCTATCTGTTTAGTGCCCAACACTGGCAGGAACTGGTATTTGTATGGCCTTATCCTATTATTAGAGCCACTCTTACTATCAATTTAAAGATGAAGAATCAGAGGCCATCACTAATTTGAAATATCAGAGGGTGAGGGCTGCTGCTCTGTAGCTGAGATCATTTGGAAGAACTTCCCAAGGCCCAGTGGGAAATGTTACACATGATTTATATCTATTAAAGCCTAACTGTTCCAGGGTTTGGGGTTGAACTCTGGGGTCTACCTCCTTCTCCCAGACCTACAAATCTCAGGCTCTCTGTATTAGCCATCATACTTATATTTCCTGTTTCTATGATAAAATACTTGGGCAAGCTGGGTGGTGGTGGCACATGACTTTAGTTCTAGCACTTGGAGGCAAGCATAGGCAGATCTCTGAGTTCGAGGCCAGCCTGGTCTATACAGTGAGTTGTGGTACAGCCAAGGCTACACAAAGAAACCCTGTTTTGGAAGAAACAAACAACCCCTGACAATAGCAACTTAAAGAAGGGTTTATTTTGTCTCGTAGTTCATATGTCCATTGTGTGAGCAAAGTTAGTGTCAGGAAGGTGAAGCATCTGGTCACATTGTGTCTGTAGTCAGAAAGAGGAGAGACTGTTGTGTTCACCCATGTCCTGGGATGCTCCTGCCCACGATTAGAGCGGGTTCCCACCTTGGCCTCATTGAGAGGCTCCAGCACATGATTCCTCACAGGCGTGCCTAGAGACTAAGCTAACCTAACCTAATCCCTGACAGGTGTGCCTGCCAGTGCTCCCAGATCCTAACTGACCATCACAACTGGCAGCTGGACTTTCTTATCTGATAAATTTGTATCATCTAAATGCACCTCCCCTTTCTCTAAACTCCCTCTTTCAACCTTCCCTTCCTGAGAAATATGATTTTAGGGCAGGAGAAACAGACCCACATGTTCACAGTATTGTCTAATCAAGAATCAATTTACTTGTTTTCTGGGTTTCTTCTGCTCTTCCCCCTCAAAGCAACAAGACCAAGACCTGAGCCTGGGGCAACATAGATCTCCATCCCAAGAATTCTTCTGTTCTCTCCTTATCATGTAGGAAAGGATATGGTACCCCACCCAACACACAGATCCCTGAAGAAATTTGATGCTACCCCGGTTAACCAGCTCCTGTGAAGCTCTGACAAGAAGGGCTGGCTTGTTTAAAGGAGCTAAAGGAGGAAGCATTGATGCAGAAGAAAAACATAGTTTATCTGAATGGCACAGCCAGTGAGACTGGCTTATAAGTGTTCTATTAAAAGCCACCCCACCAGGCAGTGGTGGCGCATGCCTTTAATCCCAGCACTTGGGAGGCAGAGGCAGGTGGATTTCTGAGTTCGAGGGTCTACAGAGTGAGTTCCAGGACAGCCGGGGCTACACAGAGAAACCCTGTCTCAAAAAAAAAAAAAAAGCCACTCCCAATTGTGGACCAATGCTAGCCAGCTAAGAAATCCTCAAGCCCACCTTTATATATCTTCCCAAGCTGAGGACACATGGCTCAGTGGGTAAAGGTGCTTGCCACCAAGCCTGATGGATGTCCTGTATTCAAGGGACTTGTAGAAGGAGAGAACAGACTCCTACAAATTGTTCTCTGACCTCCACACATACACAGGTTGGAGGTAGGGTGCATCTTCTCTAAGGGTAAGGGTAAGGGTGTGGCTCAGCAGAGGAGAGAGGTGGGGGAGGGAGTGAGGGAGGGGAGAGGGGAGGGGAGGGAAGGGGAGGGGAGGGGAGAGGAGAGAAGAGAAGAGAAGAGAGGAGAGAGCGAGCGAGTGTGCGCAGGACCTGTATAAGTCTTCCACTATCATTCCGATGACTTGCCCCTCTTCAGAATAAAAATGTGTAGTGAGATGTCCACCCTTCTTTTCACCCCCTTTTTTAAAACCAAGACAGGGTTTTCCTGTGTAGATCTGACTGTTCCGGAGTCAAGGGTAATTGATGAAATAATAATCTCTCTGAATCCAACGAGCTCAGGAGACCTGTCTTGCTCACTCCTGAAAGCTGAGTTCTTTTCCGGCACGAATAGGGCTTTCATAACTAAGCATTGAGGGGACACTAACCTAACCTTAGAGTCCATGTGAAAGAATCAAGAAAGCTGAGACCTCAAGATTGGCATTCTACGCGAGACTCCACCCAGCAACCCAGCCCGCAGTCACCTGACATCTTTTCCACCAACAGAGATTGAAGGGCGTCAGCCAGAACCAGGAAGGGACCCTCCCTAGCTCATAATCTTTGCCCTTGGTAGAGATCCAGGAAATGTGAACTAAGACTCAGATTGACTGTTGGGAATTTGCAAGGTGTTCGGGACCCATTGCCCTGAAAAGGGACGGGGTTTTATTTTGTTATGTGTTTTGTTTTCTGGGAAGAAAATTAGTGGTCATGACACGTTTGTGTATCAGGCTAGAGAAAAAGACCAGTTTCGTTCGTTTCTTTCTTTTCTTCCTTATGGTTTTTTAAAATGAGCTTCAGAAAGATTGAAGACGAGAGGACAGAGCCAAAAGCATGCAAAAACGGAGAAAATTTTTTTAAAATTGTAGGGTTTTGGCAGCGGTGGGATTCGAACCCACGCCATCGAAATGACTGGAGCCTAAATCCAGCGCCTTAGACCACTCGGCCACGCTACCTCCCATTTATGTGAGGAGCCATTCAGAGTATATTAGTGTGATGACGCAGTGTGTAACATTTTACAAGTTCCGCCCCTGGCCGTTTCCGCATGCTCAAGCTCAATATGAATTCAGTCTTTCGGTACGTAGTAACATCTGCCTCTGGATTTCCAGCGACCTTGTTTCCGGCACGACCATCAAGCAGAAACGCACCACTAAAAAGGAAAGAACAGGACAGTCCCTGAGTGTCAACCACGAACGCTTGATCCTAAAATGAGAGAATTTGAGTTTTACATTTTCCGTGGACGTGATGCTGCCTGCAGCCACCTGGGGGCAGTGCTGCGCCGCCGCGTCCTCCAGGCCGGCTCTGCTGGGCGGGGCGGTCACCAGGGAACTGGGTTTGCGCAGAACCACTTCAGTCTGTAACCTCTTGGCCCATGGCCGCGTGGTGTCCAGGGTGTCTTGGAATGTTGTCACGGATCTTTTGTTGATGTTTGCTCCTTCGCTTTTATTATCACATTTTACAGAGTGGGGAAAAGACCTGGCAGTGTGTAT